ATAAAATGTCATTTAATATTCATTATAATGTAACTGTGTAAACATTATGTACAGTTTTAGATTTTCTTTTGACTTATTTTATATTATGTTACTGGACAAATAGCAGTATTGTAGGACTTAACATCTTGAAAGCACTGTACTAACATTAACTACTATTAATCCTTATCCCCTTCTCTGAGGTAAGTAAATAATGCACCATTAAAAATAATCCATTACTGCAGCATTGACTAAAGATCTTCTCAAGTTTATAGATACCTCAGAGAAGCAGTCATACCATAAACATGGAAATATTGACCATTTAATGGTGCTTATTGTAGGCAGGCATTAGCCTCATTTTATAATTGGGACCTGAGAGACATAAGGACAGATTATCATCCGGTGTATTTTGCATAGCTCCATTGACTGCATGAAACTATGAAAATTTACATCAGCTGAAGATAAAGCCCATTGAGGTTAATTTTCTGAAAGTGGCCTCTAATTTTTGGTACCATTCTTTAGAGGTCAACAGCCTAATTTCAGAGATGCTGAACAACCAAAATTTAAACACAGAACCTTTGAAATTAGGTACCTGGGCCAATGTTCACTCTGTTTCCCATCCATGTGTAGGAAAAGTTTTGTTATGTGCACAGAGGCATGTGTGGATGACACCACCAGGAGAAACACATGCTGCTGGCTGTGGGCACTCTGCTAATCAGCTAGGTAGCATTTGAATTCCTCCTAGGTGGCCGCCCAAGTGCTCAGTTTACAGAGAACACGAGCCAGGGCCTATGTTCTGAGGAGTGACAAATAATTTTAGCTGACCAACTACAGGGATGACTTCCCCAAGGCCACAAAACAAATCAGTGTTAGTGCTGGGATTGGAAAGGAGAAAAGTTCAGCCCATCAGTCCTAGGCTCAGTCTGCTAATCATTAATGCCTTGGAGTATGCTAGTCTCCGAGTAGTGTAGCTAGTCACTACAACATCAAAAGAATTGGGGGGAGGGGGCAGACAGTAGATAGACAGTAATCATAGAAGTAAATTCTGGCACAGTCTGACTCAAATGTGGTTCTGACATCCAAAACTCATTGAAAAAATCTGGAGTTTTAAGAGGGTGGGTGGCATTACAAAAAAAAAAAAAAAAAATCAGAAGTAGGCCGAGTCCCAGGACTCTTTGGATCTTTGGCTGTACTGTTTTGCTTATACTGCATTTGCCACTTAGTGTACACTTGTTCATAAACAAACACTTAAAAACCTTCAATTTAAAGTTGTTTCTTTGGAATCCCAGAACAGACTCGCTGTGGCCACTTGATTATCTGAGCAGCAGTGGTGCAGAATAACCAAGCAACAGCTACACCAGGTAAAAGAGTCCTAATGCGACCAGTACTTAAGCATTCATGTACAGTTAGCACATGTGTTAACATCATCAGTGCATAGGCCAGCTCTACACTAAGAGATAGTAGACCTAAGATAAGTAATATGCAACTCCAGCTATGTGAATAGCATCTGTGGCAACCCCACTGTGGGAGGTCAATGGGAGAAACTCTCTTATTGACTTCCTTACTCGGTGGAGTACTGGAGTCAACGGGTGCTCCCTCAGCAGTCGACTTAGCAGGTCCTTACTTCACCCATTAAATTGAACCCCAGGAGACAGAAGCTGCAGAGCTCTCTCTCTCAGGCTATGTCTATACTGCGTGGGTTTTTTGGCAGAAGATATGCAAATGGAGTGTTCATTTGCATATCTCATGCTCTCATTTGCAAATCCTCTTCCGAGCCTTTTTGCAGAAGAGGTTTTTGCAATAAAAAGCCCTGTGTAGATGAGACCATTTGTCGGGAAAAAAAAACCTTTTGCACAAGAGACCTTATTCCTCAAAAAATGAGGTTTATAAGCTCTTGCGCAAATGGTTTTTTTCTGATAAATGGTCCCATCTACATGAGGTTTTTGCAATAAAAAGCCCTTTCTGCAAAAAGGATTGGAAGAGGATATGCAAATTAGCATGATATATGCAAATTAGCACTTCATTTACATATCTTCTGCCAAAAAAACACGCAGTGTAGATGTAGCCTCAGTAAGTAGAGACAAACCCTTAAGCTGTGCAGCCTCACAGAAACTCTGCTTTCTCAAACCAAGATGGGTTGATGCAGCACCCTTTTTAAGGAAAACCAGGCTGGGAAGGTTCATAGTTTCAACTATAAAAATAGTTTTGAAATGCTGTTGATTAATTATCCAGTGATCTTTCTTGCTTGTGATATAAACTATCGTGATTCTAAAATAATGAACCTAAAGTAAAAGATATTCCATCAGCTGGTTTTTCAGTATTGTGGCCCTTCGGTATTTAAATTAACCAAATCTAGTACTCTGAATTAGCGTCATAAAGGAAATGAAGCTTTAGATTCTGAATCATTTTTTAAAATCTAATGTTTGTTAAACAACCAGAGATTGCCATTAAATGTAGGTCATTCTATAATACTGGAAAGGGACAAATTTGCATTCTGTTAATTTAATTCAGGAATACAATTACAGGCTGGACCTCGCCTCGCTGGTCTTGCACCCTTGTGACCTGACTGGTCCCGAAGGAGGGTATTTACCACCTAGGGAAGGTCCCTCCCCCTCGTGGCTGTGCTGCCATCGAGCTATGGCTGCTTCCTGCCCCCACTGCTGCCTCAGCCCCCACAGGCTCTCCCTGTGCCCACTGCTGCTGGAGTCAGAGTGCTGCACAGCCAGGGCAGAGCTCCACAATCGCCTGACTCCACAGCTGGAGCCAGAGCCGGGGGGAGGGGATGGAGCTCTGTGGCCCAGGCTGCCAATTGGGCTGGAGTTCCCCAGCTCCTGGAGCCAGAACGTGGCTGGAGCTCCACGGCAGGGGATGGGTCCAGAGCTCCCTGGTTGCCACTAGAACCAGGAAGTTCCACTGGGGCCAGAACTTCCCACCATAGCATCCATCCTTCCCCTCCCCCACACACACACTCTGGGATCCCAGCTGAGTTACCGGTGCCCCACACAGCCCTTCTGCCCCACCACCAGACCTCCCTGTTTTTGGGCTCTGTGGTCCAGGAACATCCGTGGCTCATGTCGGACCACAGATATTGCCAGACCAGGGAGTCATGGTTAAGGGAGGTACACCCTGTGCCAAAGCATATTGGGCAAAATTCTGCTCTTAGTTTCATCTGTATAATTCAGGGCAGAATTTGGCCCCTAGTTTGTAAGTGCAGTATTATTGACAAAGCTTTCAAAATTAAGAAAAGGAATTGCCTCATTTGTTAGGAAACACTGTCAGCGTATACAGGAAGGGAAGAATTGTCCCAACGCCACTGTGTGAACAATTGTTTGACCAGAATGAAAACATGCAAAATATGAAAAAAAACCCACCATAAGGTTTAATAGGCGAGAGATATTGAATATCACAGCATTGGTTGTGATTAAAAAGACTTTACAGCTCTCCAATTTATTCTTGGGAACTCGTTCAAGTGAGTTTCTCTACTAGAAGTTCTTGGATAAACTATAAATGACAGTGGTGCTGTAAAAGCGTAGGCAGAAAAAAATGTACTGTTTAATTTGTCATAAGTAACCTCTTCTCCCTGAACCACCACCATTACCGCTTCTAAAGAAAACACACACACACACACACACACACACACACACACACACACACAAAATACTCTCAGCTTAACATGAATCACATTGGCTTGCATTGTACTCTATATTTAGAATGTATTAACTATCTTCCTGCTTCATTTAGAAGCTCTGGATGGAGAATAAATAGTTACATCATCTACCTTCAGGTCATGATTGGTAACAAATTTATTCAACATTAATTTTTTTCCCCAAACAGAAGCAGACACTATTATTTGTCCCTGATATCATAATCTGTAGAGCAGACTTCCTTAAATAAGACATTTACCACGATTTCAGCAACCAGGAGGAAGAAGTTGAATGAAAAGGTCACATTTACAGCTGCCAAGAAGGCAAGGTTCCTGAGGCTTAGCCAAACAAAATAAAATTGACGTTCACTTTAGCTTTCTCTTTCAGGCCTGTGAGGGAGGGTAGGCTAGAGGACTGGGTGCCTAATATTATTTCTGACTTTGCATCACTGAGTTTTCCTTAATTCCAGCCCCTGTTGGTAAGGGATGTACTACAGACTGTAGTGCAAACTCACGTAAGTCAAACATCAAATGCACAAACAGGAGCCCACAATACAAGTAAGCAATGGAGGTATAAACACCATGGATCAGAATTTTAGTTATTCTCACGCAAATCCAGATTGAAACCCATGAGCCTCAGAAGAGTTACTCTAAATTTATGTTGGCATAGCTGAGATCAGAATCACCCTGCTTGCAGTGAAGTACCAAATTAAATGACAGCTTTAAATCGTAAATTAAATTAATTTTTAATTTTAAATGAACTGCAAATAAATCATTAGGAACAGTGCTCTTTTACCCTTTTGGGGAATAGAAGGAATAAGTACCAATGATTACAGTTGCAATGATTCTAAAATAGATTCATTGGTGGTTGGCTTGGCCACATCTCTAACCTGTAAAGAGTAATTTTTACAAGGTTCTTGTGGCTACCCTGTATAACCTGTTAAAATGTTTAAAAATCCTCTGTTTATGTACACAAAATATTATGTACATATACACCACACATATACATGCATGCTTTATATTTGGTATACTGCATATTCTATGAGAGAATATGGCCTTCGCTAAAACATTATATTAATTTGATGTCTAAGTGTATCTACACAGCAGCAGGAGATGAAATTTTCCACTTGGGCAAGCACACCTGTGCTAACTCTCATAGCGTTAGTGCACTAAAAACAGAAATAACACTGTGGTTTTGTAATATGCAAAATGGGCTAACCATTCTATATATATATATATATATATATATGGTTTATATATATATAAACCTAACATTTCAAGGAAAATGTGTCATAATTGACTTGTAACATCACTTTTTCAAACAGCAAATACAAGAAAGTGATTGCCATTGAGGCATTGGAAAATGAGTTATTCTTTCCTATAAAGGGGAAAAAAACTTTTATTGATTGCTATTGCTTCCACTGAGATCAGTCATAAAAATACCATTGACAATCAACAGCATCTACTTTGGCCCAATTATTCATAGTTATGAATATCCAATTAAGATCAGAGTCTGCAATAGCTATATGCCGGATTTTATATTTGTGCTGTGAGATGTACATGGTATTTTCACAGCTCTTAGAAAATATGCCTAAATATAATCTAAACATAGTTTATAGTATAGATCAGTAATGATGTACTCCAAAATGTAATGATGTACAAAAATTAAATGGTGTGGTATGAATGTGTGTTCACTGAAGTATAAGCCACACAATGATTTAATTACAATTTGATAATTACCAGAATCCATTCTTGGTAAATAGCCTCCTCATTCTCTCTCTGGTATTCTCCTTCCCCATATTACCTCTTTAACACAAAATGCTGAGGCCTATGTTGAAAGGAAGTTACTTAAATGTATGTATGTTATTTTAATCAATCACAAGCCAGCAGATAATAGCATTACATTTCTTCTTTTACTTTATAATTAGCAGAATACCAAGAAGTGGGTTTGTTCATTGACCTGTATTCCCTCTGTGGGCTGCACGACTGGCTCTGTGGAAGCAAAACAACCACAATGCAGGATAAAAACATGGCCAAGTTCTGTAAGATCCCTCTTTCAACAAGAGTCTAACAGTTTTAAAGGTGGATCATATCTGTGGTTGAATTACTTGACTGTGACCTTTTTAAAATTCAAAGTACACACACTACAATCCCCCAGTCAATTCCTGCACTGTCACTTGCAAGCAATCTATTGGCCTGAAAACAATAGGCACTTATTCCCAAAGATGGCAAGGAGAGGGAGAATTATTTGCTAGGTATGGCACCAAATCCCCATCTTTGTGCTCTCTCACATACATTACTATATAAACGGAGGCAGAAACAGACAGACACGGATTTTAAGTTGTCGGTGGGTCATGCTTTTTCTTTTTCCCCCTGCAGGATTTGCAGACACAGCAGATGATGCATGGTGATGCCACAAGAAGCAAGGGAGAAGTCACTAGTGCTAGGATACCCAGCCCCACCAGGATCCCCACAACCTGCAAAGTTTAAAGGGAGAGAAAAAAAACATTTTAACAAATAGGAAGATAAAGTGGGTGTGTGTGTCTGTGTATATGTGTGTGCGCGCTCACACATGTGACAATTAAGTGAAAGGTGAAATTGCCTTTCTCTTAGGCTACATCTACACTGGCATGATTTTCCGAAAATGCTTTTAACGGAAAAGTTTTCCGTTAAAAGCATTTTCGGAAAAGCACGTCTAGATTGGCAGGATGCTTTTCCGCAAAAGCACTTTTTGCGGAAAAGCGTCCATGGCCAATCTAGACGCAGTTTTCCGCAAAAAAGCCTGATCGCCATCTTCGCAATCGGAGCTTTTTTGCGGAAAACAATACTGTGCTGTTTACACTGGCCCTCTTGCGCAAATGATTTGCACAAGAGGGCTTTTGCCCGAACGGGAGCAGCACAGTATTTCCGCAAGAACACTGACGATCTTACATGAGATCGTCAGTGTTCTTGCAGAAATTCAAACGGCCAGTGTAGACAACTGGCAAGTTTTTCCGCAAAAGCAGATGATTTTGCGGAAAAACTTGCCAGTCTAGACACAGCCTTAATGTTTGTCTTTGCTCTGTTTGAGCTGGTTATCAGCATACCTGTGTTCTGTTCCACATTACTGAGGCTCGAGAATGGCCTAGTTTGTTTCTGCAGGGGCCTTTGTCATAATGTCTTAAGAAGATATCATTCTGAAAGATAAAAGAAAGACTACACTGAACAGGTCACGTTAATGTGGAGAGATGCACAGGATAGGACCGGAAATATCCTGTTACTCAAAGTGCAGTAAAATTAACTGCTTCTGGCAGACAAGTTCACCTGCCTGTTACTTACTTTGATAAATTAAATGGAAAACTTTAGATCTCTAAAACACACCATCTAAGATATTCCATATCCTTAATATTTATCTTCTGTACTTCTAACATTTCTCTGTTTGCTAGTCAGTTCTTCCAGGGGCTTAATAGACTGCTCTTTAAAATGGAAAGTCCCTGCTTTCCTTTTCTCCCCCCTCAGTTGAGGTAATAACTTTACCTCAACAAGACCACAGACATTTAGTT